CTGGTGTTGAAGGCAGAGCTGAAGTCCACAAACAGGATCCTGGCGTAGGTTCCTGGGGAGTCCAGATGCTGCAGGATGAAGTGTAGGGCCATGTTGATGGCCATACAATTTTTTTTTTTAAATAAAAATATGAAATTATTTTTGACGATTGTTTGTTTTTTTAAGAATGGGTGTTACACACAGAGTCTTACACAAGAGTCTAATAGCTTAGTGGACCATAAATTACTAAAGACAGAAGGAAGCAGTTTTCTCCCAAACATGCATCTCTGATGTACACAGGCTAGAATGCTAAAAATGCTATTTGATGTTGTTAGGTGGTGTCCTCAGTAAAGGCCCTTGGATACCACTATGACTTCCTGTTACCTGGGTAATTTCAGATTTAACGCTGAAGTTGTCTGCAGCATGAAGTTAGTTCAGTTGTTACAGGGAATATCACCACAGTAATTTATGTAACACGCCCCCTAGTGGCAGGTCGACTGACAGATTATATTTGGTCCTGAACAGACCAGTTAAATGATAGTGAGGACAGGTAGTGTGTTTTCCTGTGTTACCAGCACTTCTTAATCTCTTCGTCTCAAAATCAGAATGAACTCAAATAATATAATCAAAAACCAAACAATCATATGTGTTCTTCACACAGGGTATGACAGGACAAACATTCCCGCTCCTACTGTCCTAGCAGCAACACATTACATTCCAAAAAGCAAAACAAACAAACCTTTACTTGGTATTTTAATTATATGGATCAAATGTGTGATTTTATTACTTACTAACCTGAAAAAAGATGGGCGACACACTTCGCTGTCTCGTTAGAGTGGAAGTGCCCCCTTGTGGCGTAACTTAGGATCGCGCTATATGTTGGCTCTTCAACAAAAATCATAAAATTACAGCCTTTCTTTAACAAAATTGCGTATGAAAACTTACACAATATACAAAATTAAATCACATAATGTGGCCAAGCATGATGGTGCGTCACACACGGACCCATACTGTGAACATGACCTGCTCCAGAGCAGGTTAGAGTAGGAGGTTCTTAAGCTTTTTAATACCATCAATTGTTGGACTATCAATGAGAAATATAATTCTTTTTAAAATTTGACCACAGTTGTATTTTCAGCTATTAATATATGACCCAAATTCTGGGCATCTATTTGTACTTGCTGATGTCGTTTCAGATTTGCACATAGTGGCCGAAGTTTGACCTGAGCTTTTATATTCTTTCTTTCTTTTCTCTCAAACAAGTCTGCAGCTGAAGGCATAAAAACTACAACTGTTTTTTACACATTAACTTAATGAAATACTCAAATATTATCCATCAGGTTCTCCTGTGTCTTAATTGACAGAGCTGTGATATTGATAAATCTATTAACTTACACGATCAGCATATTTGTCCTCTTTCTTCCCTGGCTTCAAATAGAATAAACTTTACTGATATAGTAACTCTTTTCCAGCTCTACTGACTGAAGCACTTAAAGTGCCCACTTTTAATATTAAACTACTGTGTAGTGCTTTTCCTTTCACATGCATACTCACACTGCTGCTTTGTCTGCAGCAGCTGTATTGCTTTCAGTGATACTACCTGTTAAACCTCTTCATGCCTATTATCTGAGCTGTACTCTGAGGGTCACTGGGTCGCGGTATCCTTGCATGCGGGATTTTTAAATGATCTTTTCAGCCACAGTCAGAAAAAAATGATGTTTTCTACTTATCACAGATTCCCCAGCATACAAAGAGAGTTTAAACTGAGTTTCAGTTTACCAGAAAGAGTTCTTTTTAAAATATAAAGTAAAATAAATGAAAGGTCTGGAGGTCTGGCAAAGATGAACTAACAAATAAAGCAACAAAAACACCAGGATCAGCATTCCAAAAGGGAAAGAGCAGGGATCTGAGGTTGCTGGAGATAGCCTCCTTTAAATGTGGGGTTACAACACCACCCTAAGAAAGACAGAGGAGATGAGCGAGGGAGGAGCGAGGGAAACAGAAGAGAAGAAAGAAGGACAGAAGAAGCAAACACAAGGGGAGGCTGCATATCACTGTTATCACTAATAATTGTGGATACTACTAAAAATCCTGTGAATGTTTAGTAGTATCCACTACTTTCCCCATAGTATCCCGGAATTACGAATGTTTTCAACATTCTTAAGTTGTTGTAATTCCAGGGAGCAGAAAAACAAATGTTTAAAATCCAAACTGCTCGCCTTAAACAAATGGGTTTGCTGACTCTTACTTAGACTACAGTTGAGTGCTTACCTGCACATGTATTACATGTATTTTTACTGCAGTTGACTGAGTTCAGCATGTGCTGTGGATCATATTGTGCTGTGTGTATCCAGTAAATGTAGCCAGATTATTCACACAATGCATGATTCAATACAGCAGTGCAAATGAACTGCAGAGTCTCAAAATAAGCAGCAGTCAGCAGGTTAATGGTCTGACAGTGAGCATCAGTGCGCGCTGCCTGTAGTCCTCTCTCTGCATTAGGTGTTCAGTGCAGTGTGAGCAGTGGAATTTTCATCTGAAGATTTCAAGACTCCCGATGAACTTTACTTTCTCATAGTACTCTCACTGCTGCCTGCTTTAGCAGGTTATGAAGAAAAATGAGATATTTCACAGCAACCAATTTAATGTTTCCTCTTTAATCTCACACGAGGGATCAGTAACCGACTCTCACATCTGTGTCTTTGCAGTTCTTTGTACTGCTTCCTCCACTTCATAACCTTCTCCTTCCTAACTCACTCTCCCTCCATCTTAAAACACTCACTGCCCTATCCCTCGTATTCCATTGTCAGTCTCTTCTTTCCCAGTTGTAAGAAGGGTGGGATTGGCATCAGCATCCAACCACCAGCATCGCAAGGATGGGGGCATCAGTCCCTCCTAAGTTATTCATACAGGTTTCATGAAGATGAAGCCACTGATAAAGAGAAGGAGCAGTGAGACTCAGGTGGACGAATGAAAGAACGTTCTCCATGTGCTATTTCTGCCTCTGACGGGCACTTTTGGAGTCATCCTATCTTTGTTTCTGTCTCACTCCCACGCCTCCTCCTCCTTCTTGACTGAGTTTTGGAGCATGTTCTGCCGGGTGTGATTGGAGGGCAACGCTCCAGGCAGATGTAAATCTGGTGAGGGTTGTTGGCACAGGGGGAAACAGAGGATGTCAAATGAAAATCCTGTCTCCATCTCCAAACGGGCTATCGCGCTTGAAGGTGGACTGAGATCTGGGTCTTTGTGGATGCTAAGCTTATCACGAACCGGGTTCTTGACCTTTTCACCTGCAAGTCATGTCAAAATTGCTCAAGAACAAAAATGTTTCCTGGGTGAGTACTGCCTGTCTGGTAGGCTGATGGGGGGAGGCAGATTATTTCAGCTCAATGTTTAATGCTTCTCAATTCTGTCAGGCTTATCTGCTTTGAAATTTGTCGTCTACGGTTGCATTTTCTAAGGAATGATGCGTGTAGAAGTTTCAGTATATCAGAGTTTGGTTTGTATATCCAAAAGACAAACTCACTGTCGGTGATGCTTCTTCTGCACATCTGCTTTGGTTTGTCCAATAGCTGTGTGGTGATAAAAGGCTCAGCTCTTCTTCAGCTTGCTTTGCACCATCCTGCCGTGTCAGTCGTACAGCGTCAGAGCATCAACTGACAAAAACGTATGAAAAGACACTGACTGGGCTGAAATCGATGAATGGAAATAACTGTAAAGTTCACTCGGGGCTAACTTGTGTTCACCAGGCTTCCAGTGTTGATGATTAAAAATTTTGGTTGTGTTCACTTGTTACCAAAAATAAAATTTTCAGTCTTTTCTTATCTATTTAGTTATTATTTTAGTTCAGGGGAGGTGTGTGGGTTTGTGGGCATTGGGGAGGTGGATTGTTTAGTCTTGCCTGAAAAAATAATATATAATGTATATACGATATATATACATATATATATATATACACATATATATATGGTATTATATGTGATTTTTTTTTTTTTTTTTTTCAGGCAAGACTAGACACTCCACCCTCCCCAATGCCACAAACCCACACACCTCCCCTGAACTAAAATGAATAACTAAATATATTATATTATATATATATTATATATATATATATATATATAATATATATTATGGAGAGAGAGAGAGAGAGAGAGAGAGAGATATCTGAGTGAAGAAGTCTACAAAATTGTTTCTGTCTGATGTCTCAGATTAAGTTAGAGTAGTGAGTTCTGTCAACTACTTTTTATATAGTGAATATTTTGATAAGTACATTTGTTTGAATATATGTTTTTACTGGTTATATGGCAGCAGCAGAATAAACTAGTTTTTATCTCTTTTAATCTGCCAAACATTATTCTAAAGGCTTTGATAGTTCAGGGAAAAAACAAGAAAAGGTTAACGTTATCCTTGTCTGTAAGTCCAAAAAATATTGCGGTATTATAGAGAGTATAGACATGTTGCACGTAGCTTTTGTGTCTGATAAGTGAAACCAGTGTATGCTGTAGAGACTGTTATCTGTCTAATGGCCAAAATTCTGGCCAATTCTTTTGAAGAAATCTGGTTGTATAAAAAGTTCTGGGAAAAATAGCTCGTGTCACTTGATCTTTGACCGCTGTGGGTTCAGTTTCTATTTTCAGTTCTTACTTAATACAACATGATTTTCATTTTGTAAATTATGGTCCCGATAAATGTGCAGACAGAAAGTAGTGTTTATATAGAGCTACAGTACGGTACACAAGTCTTGAGCTCATTTCTTTATATTTTACTAGGAAAATGGGAAATCGGTGCAGATTGAACGGCAATGTTTGGTGTGACTAGCTTTATTCTTCATCACAGCTTGAAGTCTCTTAGGCAATTTTCTTGTCATTTGTTGAAGTAGTCTGCAGGAATCGTTCACCATGCTTCTTGAAGGACATTCAAAACTTTTTTGGGGATGTTGGCTGCCTTTTGTTCCCACTCTGCTTTACTAGTGTACAGTCTGGACTTTGGGGAGGCAAATCCATGTCTAAAAGTGCTGCACATTGTCTTTTTAATTTAATTTATTGCATTAACAGCGCATTTGAATCATTGTGATGCTGAAAATTGAAACTGTTGCCATTCGGATGCTTTCGAGATGTTATTGCATGGTGGCTCAAAATCCATCTGTTGTTTTCTGAATTTAAAACTCCATCTATTTTGGCAAGATCCCCCAAACTACTGGCTTAAATGCAGCACCAAACCAGGATGGAGCCTCCAAAGTGTTTTGCAGATGTCTGTTGACACTCACTGTCATATCACTTTCCTGACTCCCTCTGTACTGATGATGATTTCAGCCAAAATTTTCACTTTGTTGGAGTGTTTCATTGGCCCTGCAGGGGAACCTCCTCTTGCTTGAGGAGATTTAAGGTGTCACAGATCAGAGTTTAGTAAAGGCCAAAGTCTGTTAGAGCTCAGGTGACTGCAGCTGTCTGACCTCTGATCAGCAGCATAGATATTGACAAGGACAAGAGCTGTGTGTGTTTATGTGTGTATAGAGCCCAGATGTACATCTGACCCAGGATTTATTATCATCTCTCCATAGAGTCACAACCTGGCTCAGCTGACTACAGGTCTGCATTTTCTTTTCTATTCTCAGTTTTATGTAACACTCCCATCTTTGTCCCTCTTCTCCTTATAAGCTCTCCCTGGAGATTTTGGTACCACACGCCCATCTGCTCATGTCCCCTGTCCAGCTGTCCAGGTCGCAAGCCATGGTGACAAATGGGCCAAACACTGTTACTTACCTTTAAACAGTGGAAGAGGAAGTATACATTTTTTTTGTTTGTTTTTAGGTCCTATGCAATGCGTAAAGACAGAATGATAAAATTAAATTATAAACCTTTTCAAATCAGAGGTATTATCAGCAAAATAGTTAAGCAATAAAAGTAAATTGGCATTGTGTTCAATGATCTTTAATAAACAGCTATTACACTATTTAAAATGACGAAATAATATGGATAATACACAAGATAGTTAATAACTGGTTTGCAAACCTTCTGTCGATTTAGCTTCAAAAGAAGCAGCGTCTATGTGTGGCTGATACTTGGCATCGAGTTTTAGTGGTGACATAATGACACCGAACCAATGTGATGAAAGAGTCTCTCTGCGCTCTCTGGATGATGAATTCTGTTTGTCTGTAATTCCATGCTGTAAATCGGGCGCACAATGGAATTATGGTCTGCGTGGGGTTTTTTTAAATTTCCATCTTTCTATTTTGGAGCCATGCCATTATAACACTCCAATTCTTGTTTTTTTTTTTCTTTTTTTTTCTTTTTTGCACACAAACCCTAGGAACACGCGCACACACTAATCAGGGACAGCACGCACACAGGATGGATCCTGTTCTTTAATAAAAGGGGGAAAAAGAAAGTAAGACTTTCCTCACTTTCCGTTATTTAGAACTCATAGAAAGCTCGGGTGGGTTGGAGACTTTCCTGGTGTGTTTGGTGCCCGAGGTCAGAGTGAGCGGTGTGCCGCGTAACAGATGCCGCACGGAGAAATAAGCCTTTAATACCCACAGGACTCGGGAAGGGGCAACTACACTCAACTCACATCAGCGACTTAAGTGAAACCCTTCACGCAACTCTCGCAGTCTCCGGTGGTGTCCTCGGCGTCGCGGTTCTGAGAAGAAATTGCATCCTCACGCTCAAACTGGCGCGCAGGGAACACGCGTATCTGTTGCGCTGAAGAGCATCCTCGGAGTTATCCACCTGAGTGGAGGGAGAACCACTCTCATGGCATCCTTGCCCATTTGTTTACTGGAGCCAGGTGAATGGTGATTTGAAGTGGTCGTTACAGCCTTGGAATAGCGCTACAGGACACCTTTAACTGCCATGCCGCCCAAAAAGAAGGTAACATTTCAGATATTTCTTTTTCGTGCATATCTGTGCGCGTGCGCGTGTGCTGAACAGGAAGGGTTGGAGAATACGCCATCTGTTGCACTGGGCGTTAATCCTTGTGTGAGGCCTTTCCACATCGATGCACTCGCTATGTAACAGCGCGCAGGGCAGATAGAGATGCATATCCGCATGCTTGTATCATGTCATATGTCCAGCTGAAAAACAGACTTCAGATAGGGTTGCATAACCAATAGTCTGTGAAAATCGGATGGATTAAATCTCTTCTCGAGCTTTTTCCTCTCATTTATGACTCTTGTACTCGCGGTGAACTTTGTGGCATGTGGTATTAAACCCCAAACTATGTGCTGCACCTGTATGGCTTTCTTTTCACTTCACGTGTTGTAGCTGTAGAGCACGCCATCAGCAGCATGGTTTTGTGTTTCTTGCACATGCTGTGCAGTCCATGCATTGTTTTGTTTTAGTTATGAAACCAAGCTCCAGTTTGCAGTATTCAGGTAAACTTCACAGAGTGAGGCACCCACTTCTCAGTCTTTTAAACAGCTTGAGGGTGATGTAACATTAATTAACGATGTTAGGGGGTATTCGTTTAATATACGTTTAATCATTAGTCATATTGGTCTCTGTTTATTTATTTTCTAATATCTCATATTACAAAATGCAGTGCCAGTATTGTCTGTCACATTTCCAGAAGCAACTATGAGAATTTCTTCTATATTTTGGTCTTTAGGTTCATTGTTTTTGTGACATACAGCTTTTCCTTTTTGTTTTAAACTGTGCTACTACCTAACAAAACACAAAGTTAGAGAAACAGAGTGGGCAGGGAGTGTGAGAACGGGTTGAATACTAACACATCGCAGGAAGACTTTGGCTGGCCTACTCTCTTGGATTGCAGTGCTAGTTAGTGCTGGCCCACTGCTTGTTACTTAGAATAGGAAAAGCCTCTTAGTAGTTGTTACTGGGGCATTACATGGTGATACCTGCTCTCCTTCCAGGCAGGAAGTGGAGTATTAAGATGTGGAGCTGTGTGGAAAGTTCCAGAAGTATCAGTAAACCTGTTTCCTGTGAAATTAGGGCTGTTTCCAAATTTAAAATGTTATTGTTTGCATCAAACTTTTTGCAGTTTAAAAATAAAACAAAAACGACTCTATATTTATTTTATTTTGTGTTTAACTTGATGTCAGGTTTTTGTGCTCATAGAGTGACAGTTCCAGTGATAGTGGTTGCTCAGTACTTGTGCAATAACTAAGTGAGAAATGATCAGAACACCAGTGGCTGGCAAAATGATATTTTATAATCCCCACACATGCGCACACCTCTCGGCACGCCAGTTCTAATCACGTTGCATCACAGCGTTGTGCAGAGCAGAAGAGCAGAGAGATTTCTGTGAACTATAGATGAAATGTATCTATTACGGGGGCCCGGCAAGCCAGGATTTAAGTGATATAGATACGACAAATGCTTCTATTTTATGTATATCTGATGACTGTCAGGGAGCACTTGAGCACATCCAGTCGAAGCTGCAGTGTTGGCTGTCTGTGAGGAGTTTGCATTTGTCTCTCTGCCTCTAAATCCTGGATTGACGCATGCTATCTTAATCTCCTTACTCAGAGACAATCATGACCCAAAGAGAGAGAGAGACAGAGATAGAAAAGGATCCAAATACACATTGCGTCTTATGCTTATAACCCCCCACACACACACACACACACACACACACACACTCAATATGAGCAAATATCTTTTTTGTCTTTTTGTATTTCTTGATGAATGAGTAATCATTAACTGCAAAGTGATGAGACTGAGTGATGAGATGTTACTCTTTAAAGACTGACCAATATTGGATTTATGAGGATGATACAGACACAGATTTTTGGAGAAAAGAAATTTGATATTGATGTGTTGGTGGTAGAGGAGCTTCACAAACCGGTTAGCAGCTTAATATTAGAACACAACTGTGGTCCAGCTGTGATGCATGCTCTGCTACATGTGCTGCACACAGTGCTGATAGAGTTAAGAGTATTGCAAGCAGTGGAATCAGAACTGTTGTAATGCCACCTTTTCTAAATCACTCCAAGAGTATTTTTTCCGCAGTATGTTTTAATGTTTCCCACAGATTCAAGCAGCTACAATGTGTTTCTTGCAGGATGACTTCTAATTTCATGCCCAGGCATAGCAGAGCAGCGACCTGTTCTTCTTCATACATTTAAAAAAAAATTAATCAAATAATGTTTGTTAATTTCTTTAGTTGCAATTACAAACTGTAATTAGACACTGTAGGGTGATGAAATCAGAAAAAAAAGAATACATGAATGAAATGAAATCCTGCCATTAAATGTATTTTTGAACATTGCTAATAAAGCAGGGAGTTTAGGGGTAATCCCAAAATCTTCCATACGAAACTGCAAGCCCATCTTAAACTGTTCAGTGATATTTCTTCTTTGTTGGCCTTTTTCTTTCTCTCAGCATGACATGTTGATGGCACTGACTACTACTATAAGTTCCCTATGTTTATTTGTTGTCTAGTGATTCAAGACTCTTTCAGCACTTTATACTAGAGCCTGAACAATTTGTTAGTGGGCTCATACTATTGGTCATATCGATCTATTTGTGTCATCATTAGTAATGACTGATAAATGAACTTGAAACACCCTTCAACAATGAGTGTTGGCATTACATAGATTGTCCACCAGAGGGCGCTCTGCAACTTTGTTGTTCATGAAATGTGTTTGACTCTTCACAGCTACCAGCTGATCTTAGCAGAACCAAAGAATAACTATGCAAAAAATTAGAAGCATGACATATCCCATACTTACTGTACAGTCTGTGATTTCAGATTTTTTTATTATTATATTCTTTACTTTTGTGTGAATCCGCCTGCTCAATCTGCCTGTCACTTTGCTGCTGCAACACTTGAATTTCCTTCAGTGAGGGAAAACAAAGAATATGTCTATTCTATTCTATATTGGGTTTTCTCCACACATCAGATATCTTAAAAAATCCAATGTCAGTTGGAATCTAATTTATAAATTTTTTGCGTGTGAATCCTTTTTTTTTTTACCGTCTTTTAACAGATTCTCCAGGAAATTAAAAAAACATGCTCCTATTCTTCTGGTTTCTAGAAATTATGTCCTAACAGAATTTCTAGAAGTATGGTTAAGTTGTGGGCTTGCATTAAAAAAGCTGTTGCCACCACGTGTTGCCAGAAACTTGAGTGTGCCTTTAAAAGTCTCAGAAATTTAGATGAAGGTGGTGAAGAGCTTTATCTAACAGATGTCCATCCATTTCCCTCCATTTATCCAATTCAGAGTCACAGGGGCTGGAGGCTATCCCAGCTCTCATAGGCAACAGGCGGGGCGCAGGTCGCCAGTGCGTCAGAGGGCTCAAATAAAGAGACAAACAACAATTCACTCTCACATCCACGTCTGTGGCCAGTTTAAAATTTCCTTTGAACAGTGGGAGACAGGCAGAGGATGCCCACCCCTCCACTGCACCACCCTCTCATTCTAACAAATATGCTGTATCCTCTTGTGTGCTAAGGATGGGGACTGGTCTGCTACCGTATGTAAAACTCATTTCTCTTGTAACATGAAAATTAAGCCTACTCTCTCAAAACCCACTTACAACTAATATAGCATTAGTATTCAAACTATGGATGATCCATTGGCCACGTGGTCAGGACATTTCAGCTCCTGACAAGCTGGAATGTTGCTGGTTGTTATTCCTCTTTGCTCAGTATGGGCCCTGAAATATGTGATCATGTATCAGCCATCAGATTTTGTCTACATCTGTCTGAATTGGAGGAGCCATTAAGTTACTAATAATCTAATTTCTACAGTTTCTACATTTTTCACTGCAGCAACAGCAACCTTTTTTTACCCTTTATTTTTACTGGCAATATCAGCGGCCATAATAATGATAAAGCCCACATTAACAAACTATATATGAATTAAAATACATTTACCGTGGTACTGATTTACTGCCTCTTTTGATCTATAATTTGAGATCTAAAGAGATGTGATGCAGCCTTAAACTCCACAGACGGAGATCCGTGCCAAAGTAAAGATAGCTGTGCCAGCCCGGCCGTATCTGCTCTATGGTAGCATCAGGGAGAGGGCATGGAGCCAGTCTCCTTCAGACAGATGATGCAAAGCAGCTGATTAGACAGGGCTTGGAGAAAACAGGATCAGAACACTCACTGCATGCAAATGAACTGGCTGTTAATGACCAAGAGATACAGTAGCAAAGAAATCATCACAATATACAGAATAGGATGTCAAAGTAAAAAATGAACAGCAGAAGAAGATGGGTGTAAGAGAGCTGAGTTCCATTATTCCTCACCTACAGAAAAAAATATGAGGAAATATTTATTGGCAAAAATTGACAAATGTTTCACCACACCTGGGCTTGTTGCCAGCGCCTCATTGGTGGGCCGACAGGAAATTAGTCACAATTAGATCACTGACCTGCTCTGCAGATAACAATAAACTGTAATGAAGGGGAAGAGGCCTGTGTTGGGTCCTTTTTGATGCATGGCTCTCTATTCAGCAGCAAGCTTTTAATAACCATCCCAGCATGTATGCACAGATCAAAAGTGTGATATGAGTAAAGATATTACATCTTTGATCTTGTTCATGAAAAAAAAATCATTGACTCATACAAGATAAAAACGTCAAACTCACCAACACACTCTACACTCATGCTTTCTGAGCTAAAACCAGCACATCTACTTTAAACAGCTGCAGTAGAAAGATATTTCCAAGTGCTGCAACAGTAAGGCCGTTATTGTCATGGAAAAATATGGTCCTTGAGATACCTTCTGCAGCAACAGTGTCTACATAGGCAGTTTAGAGCATGTCAGTCAGGTATTTATATGCCTCTCTGACAGATTTTGTCAAACTAACCACACTGCACTCGTAGAGCCATGGCACTTTTATAGCTGAGGCCAAAATGAAGGCCAAATGTGAAGATGAGTGCAGGTCCCTCCATTGAGT